TGACATATTGAGTGCAGCACTTTCACAGCATCATCTTTCAGGATTTGAAATTGCTCACCTGAAATTCCATCACCTCCACTAGCTTTGTTCGTAGTGATGCTTCCTAAGGCCCATTCTTGGACTTCACATTCCAGGATGTGAATGACTTCACATTCCAGGATGTCTGGCTCTAGGTGAGTGATCACACCATCATTATCTGGGTTGTGAAGATCTTTTTTGTATAGTTCTTTTGTGTATTCTTGCCACCTCTTAATATCTTCTGCTTCTCTTAGGTCCGTACCATTTCTGTCCTTTATTGAGCCCATCCTTGCATGAAATGGTCCCTTGGTATCTCTGATTTTCTTGAAGAGATCTCTAGTCTTTCCTATTCTATTGTTTTCCTCTATTTCTTTGCATTGATCACTGAGGAAGGCTTTCCTATCTCTCCTTGCTATTCTTTGGAACTCTGCATTCAAATGAGTATATCTTTTCTTTTCTCCTTTGCTTTTTGCGTCTCTTCTTTTCACAGCTATTTGTAAGGCCTCCTCAGACAGCCATTTTGCTTTTTTGCATTTCTTAATTTTTGAGGGATGGTATTAATCCCCGTCTCCTGTATAATGTCAGGAACCTCTGTCCATAGTTCATCAGGCACTCTGTCTATTAGATATAGTCCCTTAAATCTATTTCTCACTTCCACTGTATAATCATAGGGGATTTGATGTAGGTCATACCTGAATGGTCTAGTGGTTTTCCCCACTTTCTTCCATTTAAGTCTGAATTTGGCAATAAGGAGTTCATGATCTGAGCCACAGTCAGCTCCCCGTATTGTTTTTGCTGACTGTATAGAGCTTCTCCATCTTTGCCTACAAAGAATATAATCAGTCTGATTTTTCTCAGAGGAAACTTTAAAATAACACAGATCCCCAGGTTCAACCCCCACCTACTGACTGAGACCCACAGAGGATAGGGGCCTAGGCATCTGTATGTTTCAACTGCTCCCTGAGTAATTCTGATGCAGATGGTCTGTATCCTGGCACTTAGGAGTAACTGCTGCACCTAATAATGAGTTGCATTGGAGACAAGTTAGACATGGCTAGTTGAGGACCATGTACCAGATCCGCTAAGCTGGTACCATGATCCAGATCCGGACTAAGCTTTACATTCAATTCCTGTTACCCTCACACCTGTTACCCTCAATACCTGTTACACCTCACAGCAGCCCTGTGAGGTGACGATCACGGTGCTCATTTACAGATTCAAAAAATTATAAAGTGCAGAGAAGTTGGTCACTTCCCCAACAACTCCCAGGAGGAATGTGTTAATAGGGGAATTTGAACCCAGATCTGTCTTGCTGCAAAGCCTGCATGTGTCCCCCTGGACTCTCCCATGGCACAGTTATCCACCTGGCTCAGTGGCACTGGGCTCTTGAGGATACCCCAGGGGTGGGCCAGGCCTGAGACGTCCCACCATCAGCATTTCCAGGGCCTGGAAGAGCAGCTGATGGTGGGGAGCTTCCAGAGCGGCTAGTGGTCAGCTGGCTGGATGAGGAGCCTGCTCCGGGGCAAGGATCATGCTCCAGCCTTCTCTGCAGTCCAGTCCCTGGATCATGCTCCAGTCTCCTCTGCGGTCCAGTCCCTGGCAGGGGCCTGGGGGATAGCAATTGCTCAGTGTCCTACAGGTGAACTGGTGGACAGATGAACAGACAAAAGTTGTCAATAGTGGCTGTTTCCCTGTGGAGCAGGGACCAAGGAGAGCCTGGCAGAGAAGGAGCTGCAGCTTCTGGTCATGATCCACCAGCTGTCCGCTCTGCGGGACCAGCTCCTGACTGCGCACTCAGAGCAGAAGAACATGGCCGCGATGCTCCTGGAGAAGCAGCAGCAGCAGATGGAGCTGGCCCGGCAGCAGCAGGAGCAGGTGGGCCCTGCTCCCCGGGGTGGGCACCTTCAGGCACGGCGGGGAGTGTGGGGGGCCCTGCTCCCTGGGGTGGGCACCTTCAGGCACAGCGGGGAGTTGGGGGGGCCCTGCTCCCGGGGGTGGGCACCTTCAGGCACAGCGGGGAGTGTGGGGGACCCTGCTCCCCGGGGTGGGCACCTTCAGGCACAGCAGGGAGTGTGGGGGCCCTGCTCCCCGGGGTGGGCACCTTCATGCACAGCGGGGAGTGTGGGGGCCCTGCTCCCCGGGGTGGGCACCTTCAGGCACAGCGGGGAGTGTGGGGGACCCTGCTCCCCGGGGTGGGCACCTTCAGGCACAGCAGGGAGTGTGGGGGCCCTGCTCCCCGGGGTGGGCACCTTCAGGCACAGCGGGGAGTGTGGGGGGCCCTGCTTTCCAGGGCGGGCACCGTGGGGAGCATGGGGCAGGCCTGGCTGGCGCAGGCCAAGGCCACAGGCGGGTGGGGAGGGGGCCACACAAGAAGGGGCTGGGCTTCCCACCTCTGGGAGTTCATCAGTCCTTGCAAGAGGACCAGGGTAGAGAGTGCTGGGGGGCTCTGAGCGAAAGCAACCAGCTGCTTCCTGGTCTCTAAGAGAAGGGTGAGCTCTCTGCAAAGGGAGAGTAAATCTGGAGGGCTGGCCGGCTGGCTGGCTTCTTATCCTGTCCAGCTATCCTGCCTGTCCGTCCACTGGTGTGGAAGACAGGCTACGGATGGGGCTGCAAAGGCTTATGGGAAGTGGGATCCTGGGGCCTAATGTCCACGCTCCCATTGCCTACTCTTTCCTTCTGCCAGATTGCTAAGCAGCAGCAACAGCTGATTCAGCAGCAGCATAAGATCAACCTCCTTCAGCAGCAGATCCAGGTAAAAGCAGGGAGGGCTGGGCTCTGGGAGAGCTGGAGGTTGCGGGGTGGACGCCAGTGTGCAGACGTGCTGTGAACGGGGAAAGCCAGCGGCTGTGGATGAAGCAGAACCACTCAGGCATGGCCCCAAGCAGGGAGGCCCGTGTCTGCTCTGCCCCTTCCCTTGGTTTTGTCCCCATGTCAAGGGCAGGGCCCAGAATACCTTCCTCCCAGCTGGGATCTGAGGGAGCAGACAGGGGCCCGTGGAGCGGGTGTGGGGTCAGATGGATCCTTTTGAAAACTGCCCTCTCTTCCCGGGCCCACCCTCTGTGTCCAGGGCTGACACAGCTGGTTAGCTGGTTGGGACCCTCAGGACTTAGCCAGTGCTTCTTTGCCCTCAGCAGGTCAACATGCCTTACGTCATGATTCCAGCCTTCCCCCCAAGCCACCAACCTCTGCCTGTTACCCCCGACTCCCAGCTGGCCCTGCCCATTCAGCCTATCCCCTGCAAGCCAGGTGAGTGTGGGAGGGAGCCCGGGAACCGCTGTCGTCTGTCAGTTTGCAGTGTCACCTTTCTGGGTCTCGGTTTGGGGTCTGTCTAGTTGAAAAATAATCCCTTCTTTCTGAATTTCCCTGGGAGAATGAAAAGAAACAGCACATAGCCATAAAGTGCTTTCCAGACTAAGGATGTTGCCAATCTAGGTCTGGTCTCCAGTTCTGGGACACTTCCTGTACGAGAGTATCAGTACTCGAACGTTAACTGATTTATACATCTCCCCAGTTCACACTCCTGCTCTGCTCTGCCCTGTCACGGGACTCGGTGACCGCAGAGCAGAGCGCCAGCCATGCGTCCGGTGCTGACGAGTTGCTAGGCAGCCATGAGGTGATAAAATGTGGACTCTGAGCTGAGACAGCAGAGTACCAACAGCCCAGGAGCCTGGGAGGGCTTCTTGCGGTGCTCACCTGGGTCCTGGGGGTGCGGACCTGTGAGGATGAAGCTGGGAACTGAGGGTGGAGGGCCGGGGCCTGGATCCTGGGGCCGGAAGCCCAGTGGGGTGTCGGAGTGGGCCAGCGGCAGGCCCGAGTGTGGACCCTGGAGTTTATCTGTAGGATGTGGGATGCGCCCGGACGTTTCAGTAGAGGCTGCGTTGTCACACTGGCTGTGGGTGGTGGGGAACAGGGCGGGTACCAGGTGGAGTTGAGACTGGGTCGGGGGCTGTTGGGGGGATGCTTGAGATGGGGGTGACAGCCCGAATGAAGGCAGCGAACGTGGGATGGAGGCAGCGAGGGAGCTGTGAGCACGGAGTCCTTGTGAGTGGCCCTGGGGGCAGGCAGAGGCGCTGCCATCCCTGGTCCAGGAGGGGATCAGGTTTTAGTCAGCTAGAAAACAGCTCCCTTTGGTGATGTTCCCGTTCCACGTGAGAGACAGCAGAGGAAATCCAGTGTGGGTCCAGCAGTAAGGCTTCTTGGCTGTGGCCACAGTTCCTGGGTCAGCACCCCTGACTCAGGGTGGAGGCAGGGAAAACATAAAAGCCTGGAAAGTCAGACCCTGCTTTGAGGGCAGCTTCCTGGGGTGAAGGCATGGGAACTGGGGGTGGTATGGGGTGAAGGGGAGGGCAGGTTGCACAAAACCACAGCACCTCCAGGTGTTCACGGGGCTGAGCTGCAGGGCTGAGGAGGGCAGGCGCCTGTGCAGGGATGGGTCCACAGCCTCGCAGGCAAGGGCAACAGGAATTAAGTTTTGGGAGACCTGTGCTGGCCAGGCTATCACCTGCTTTATCTACTCCCAGATCCTAGTGGGCAGGGAGCCCTGTGACCGCCAGCTGCACCGCCAGGTTGTGAGCATTAGCGGTGCCCACAGCCCATAGGACAGGGTCCAAACTCCCAGGCTCGGCCGTCACAGGCCGCGAGCCCCGCTGGTCCACGGCATGCCGCCCTCACTTCCCACCTTCTGCTTTGGCACCCGCACGCCTCCACTGCACCTGCCCACCCACTGACACCTCCCCTCCCCCTGGGAGGCCTGCTCCGGTCCCCCCAGCTGAGCAGAGTTCTCTGGCATGCCACACACACAGCCCGTATCACCACCGATCTTGTCGGCAGTGGGTCATCTCTCCATCTCAATTGTCAAGTCAGTGAGGCTGGGCCTCCTTGGGGGAGAATGAGCCCAGCTACGTAGAAGAGAGCTCGAGCCTGTATAAGGGAAGGTCTGGGTGCAGATCTCAGCGCTCCCATTCATTAGCTCTATGGGCACCCGTGCCATTTCTCCTGGTCTCAGTTTCCTTATCTGTAAAATGGGATGATGTAAACTGAGTATCTATTCATATGCCACACACTAGGGATTATCTTGATAACGCACGTAAGCAGACTACAAACCAGGTAGCTGCTTTTGTACCCTGCATGTGTATGCATGTATGCTAAATCACTTCAGCCGTGTCCAGCTCTGCAACCCTGTGGACTGTAGCTCGCCAGGCTCCTCTCTCCATGGGATTCCAGGCAAGAACACTGGAGTGGGTTGCCATGCCCTTGTCCAGGGGATCTGCCCAATCCAGGGATTGAACCTGCCTCTCTTAAGTCTCCTGCACTGGCAGGCAGGCTCTTTACCACTATCGCCACCTGGGAAACCCACCCTGCCTGTAGTAGGTACAAAATCTGTAGAAGGAGTAGAGCTTATCTTGCCTTTGGGTGGGAACTCTATAGCCAGTGGGTTGGGAAGGGCAAGAACAGGNGGGTCCTTTGTGCTCCCGTACCTCTGCCCTGGTTTCCCGCCTCCTTGTCTCCTCCGCCCCGCTCTGGCCCACGTGCCCCTGGCCCCTCTGGTGTTGCTGACCCTCAGCGTCTCCCTCAGGAACCCTCCCAACCGCTGAACCTCACGGCCAAGCCCAAGGCTTCAGAGCTGCCTAATTCCTCCAATTCCCCCAACCTGAAGCTGAGCAACTGCGGACCGCGTCCCCCAAGCCACGGGGCCCCCACGCTGGACCTGCAGGCCAACCCCCCTAGCCTGCCTTTGGGTAAGCCCCCCACGCCTTTCCCTGCTAAGGGAGAGTGGGATCTGAACAGGTCTGTGAGAGTCTCTATGACCAGAGGTTAGACTCACTCCTTTCAGCCCCCTTGAGTTTCAGCACTCGGCGTCCCGGAGACCCTTCCTGCTCTCCCCGCCGGATCTGACTGGGCAGCAACTGCCCCACCATCGGGGATCTAGGCCTTTCTCCCATCCGTCTGTGGGCACCAGGGCTCCCCGTCAGTGCTGCCGCTTGGGGGTGTGCAGGCCAGCAGAAGGGAGGAGGGTGCATCACCCCAGGGGTGGCAGGACACGACCTCGCTCACTCGCCCCGCTGCTCCTCGCCCTGCCTGCTCCCCAGGCTTCCTCGGTGAAGGGGACGCTGTCACCAAAGCCATCCAGGATGCCCGGCAGCTGCTGCACAGCCACAGCGGAGTCTTAGACGCTTCACCCAGCGCCCCGTTCCGCAAGGTACGGGCCCTGCCCTGCACCCTGGGGCCGGGGGGACACAGAGGCCAAGGCTACCGCGGGAAAGCAGGGCAGGGAGTGGGGTGAGCAGAGGGGGCTGATTACGCGTCCCCTGTCTCTGCAGGACCTCGTTGGCGTGGACACATCGCCAGCCAAGGAGCGGCTGGACGACAGCTGTGTGCACCCGCTGGAAGAAGCCATGCTGGGCTGTGACGTGGACGGTGAGGGTCTGCGGCCGCTCCTGCTCCCCGCCAGGGCCAGGGCGGCTCAGGGGAGTCTCTCTGCAACCCTTCTCCCCTAGGCGGTCTGTGGGGTCCCTCCCTTGCCTGCCTTCTCCCTGTGGCCCTGCTGGTCTTCCCTGCCTGCTGCAGGAGGCTCCAGTGACCCCTGGTGGTGATGGAAGGGAAGGCCTTCTGCCAGCCCTGGAGGACACTCCTTACCCCAGGCTGCCCTGGGGGACTCTCCTGACCCCACACTGGCTGCCCTGGGGGACTCTCCTGACCCCACACTGGCTGCCCTGGGGGACTCTCCTGACCCCACACTGGCTGCCCTGGGGGACTCTCCTGACCGCAGGCTGCCCTGGAGGACTCTCCTGATGCCACACTGGCTGCCCTAGGGGACTCTCCTGGCCCCAGGCTGCCCTGGGAGACTCTCCTGACCCCACACTGGCTGCCCTGGGAGACTCTCCTTACCCCAGGCTGGCTGCCCGCCCAGGCTGATTCCTCCCCTGCTCCCCAGGCTCCCGCCACTTCCCTGAGTCCCGGAACAGCAGTCACATCAAGCGGCCCATGAACGCCTTCATGGTGTGGGCCAAGGACGAGAGAAGGAAGATCCTCCAAGCTTTCCCAGACATGCATAACTCCAGCATCAGCAAGATCCTTGGTGAGGACCAGTGGGGTCTCGGGGCTGGGGTGGGGAGGGTACGGGGCCTCTCGGAGCCATAGTCCAGCAGGATCTGGCTGCAGAAGTCAGCTGGGTCTAACCGGGGCTTACTGGGTGAGGGCCCAGGCCATGGTGAACTCCACGGAATCTTCCGGTGTTCGGGAATCAGGCAGGAAGTGGGCCCAGTGGGTCCTAGAGTCTTGTCACACAGTGGGGCTCTTCTGCACCCATGAACTTGGGGGGAGAGAGAGTGTGTCTGTGCACATTGTCTAGCTCTCCCTCTCCTATCTCTCCCTAACCTGTCCTTCTCTTTGCCCAGACCCTTTGAGCTGGCACTGGCAGGAAACGAGAGACATATTCTTGGGCTGTCAGTAGAAAGGGTTTTGAAAGTATACGTCGTCATTGGGGGCCAAGGAGAAGTGGAGGGTCGCGCAGGTGGGACTAGAAAAAGCAGTTGTTTTCAAGCCTCAGCTCCTCCAGTTTAGGCCTCTGGTCATTGTTGAGGGCCTGGGGGCCTACTCTTTTATTTATGCAAATCATGCAGACCAGAGGCTTCCCGGAGTTGCCGGGTAGTTTGGTATGTGGGTGGGTGCTGTCTTAAGCTAGCAGTTGGGTATCCTTCTACCTGTCAACCTCATTCATTTGCTCAGTATCCATGGAGCACCCACACTGGGCCAGGCCCTTGCTGTGTATATATGATTGCACGTGTATCTGGGGCCCGAAACCTTGGTGGGGTCTTCAGCACCCTCGGGGCGGGCTGTGTCAGCAGAGCCCAGCGCTGACCGCCTGCTCTGGGGCTGGGCCAGGCTCCCGCTGGAAGTCCATGAGCAACCAGGAGAAGCAACCTTACTACGAGGAGCAGGCCAGACTGAGCAGGCAGCACCTGGAGAAGTACCCCGACTACAAGTACAAGCCGCGGCCCAAGCGCACCTGCATCGTGGAGGGCAAGCGGCTGCGGGTGGGCGAGTACAAGGCCCTGATGAGGACCCGGCGCCAGGATGCCCGTCAGAGCTACGCGACCCCGTGAGCGGGCCTGCCTGGCGGCTGGGGCTGCGCGTGCGCGTGTGTGTGTGTGTGTGAGAGACAGGGCTTAGTGTGGGCTTCCAGGGGAGCTGTGTGTGTGTGTGTGTGTGTGTGTGAGAGAGACAGGGCTTAGTGTGGGCTTCCAGGGGAGCTGTGTGTGTGTGTGTGTGTGTGTGTGTGAGAGAGACAGGGCTTAGTGTGGGCTTCCAGGGGAGCTGCGTGTGTGTGTGTGTGTGTGTGTGTGTGTGTGTGTGAGAGAGAGAGAGAGACAGGGCTTAGTGTGGGCTTCCAGGGGAGCTGCGTGTGGCTGTGTGTGTGGCCACAGGGATGACTGTGACTATGGTGAGTCCCTGGTGGTTCAGGATATAGATTTGTGACTGGGGACTAGTAGGTGTCTAGACAAATGTGCCTGTGGATCCCATTTTTGACAAACTCAAATTCAGGGGTACTAAGGATCATACAGAGGATTCATGACTTGACCAAAGCAGGCATCCCAGTGGTTCCTTTAAATAGGAAACTCCCTGGCACATACGAAATATACAACTTCCCCAAACTGAATTTACACACGATCCTCTAGGAATATCTGAACATGTGGCCCTGGGGCTGCATGGGGCGGGCAGGGCAGGTCTGTAGCCCACAGTAAATTTGCCATCAGAAAAGCGCCAGGGAGCAGGTGTGTGTGTCTTGGAGCCAGAAGGGTGGGGGTGGGAGGACGCACCCTGCGGAGGCCCAGAGGACAGTGGGCCGGGGGTCGGAGTCGGGAACACCTGTAACCGCACCTGTCCCCTGCCCGCAGCCAGCAGACCGGCCAGGTGCAGATGAGCCCCTCAGAAGTCCTGTACCCGCGGGTGGCAGGCGTGCCCCTGGCACAGCCCCTGGTGGAGCACTACGTGCCCCGCGGCCTGGACCCAAACATGCCCGTCATCGTCAACACCTGCAGCCTCAGGGAGGAGGGCGAGGGTCCAGAGGACAGGCACTCGGTGGCTGATGGGGAGATGTTCCGGTTCAGCGAGGACGAGGACTCGGAGGGCGAGGAGAAGAGCGACGGGGAGCTGGTCGTGCTCACGGACTGATCCCGGCAGCCCGAGCCTGGCCCTCCTCCCCGCGGAGGCCTGGGCACAGCCGCCCCACCCACTGGTACTTGGACTCGGGCCTGCCGGGAGATGGGCACAGCTGTGCGTGTGTGGATGCGCTCGCGATGGGAGGTGACCGCCCCGCACACCACCTGTGGGCACTCCGAGGCGCTAGTGGCCTCGGCGCCTCCTGCTCAGTGGCGGTGGGCTGGGCTCGCCGAGCACCAGTGGGGCTCTTGGGGCTCGTGGCCAGCGGGCAGTATGTGACCCTCCCCCCCACAGGTCTGCCCGTCCGGGGGTATGGCAGCTACAGACCTGTTCCTCTAGGGCCACAGTTTTTTTATGTCCATTCTTGTTCTGGCTGGACCAGCCACCGCGGGACCAACATGCACCCTGCCATCACCACCACAGTGCCCCAGATGGCTGCTTTAACCACCAGGCTCGCTTGTGTAGAGAGGTCTGGCTGTCCTTGCCGTCTTTCCCTTCTGCCAAGCCTTTCATGTCTCTGGCTGCTGTGTGTGCCCATGTGTTTTCGTCTGTTCTTGCATCGCATAAGGTATTTATTGAGTGCCAGGGGCCCTTGCTGAGCTCCCGCGGGTGTGTCTCCGGGCGCCATTCTTGCTTCTCTGGGGGGCTTTCTGCGCCTCTGTCTGTCCCCAAATTGCTACCTCTCTATGTCAGTCTGGGCGTCTCAGGTTCTGTGTGTCCGTAGTGCATTTCTGTCCTTGCCTCTTTGCAGGGTCTGTTTGTGTCTCTCCCTTCCCCAATGCCTGCCCTTGCCCCTCTGACACCCACTGGGTTTCTGCAGGCCCCAGTCTGCCCCGGGTCCCCGGGCATCCCGGCCGCTCCTGCCCACTCCGTCACTGCCTCCCTGACTCCACTGTAAGCTCCCCGGGAGTCCCTTCCACTTCCAGCTCCCCGGGAGTCCCTTCCACTTCCAGCTCCCGCGGCCGGGGACGAGCTGGCCTCCAGAGGGCCCTGTGCTGGCACCTCAGCCCCGTCCCGACCTGAGTGCCAGGAGCGGGGCGGAGCACTGGCAGTGCCCCTTCTGTAAGCGGCAGGAGCGTGGGAGGGCTCTCGAGGCCACGGGGCTCCACACCCCTCGAGCCGGAGGTGGGCAGGCTCCGTGTTCTGGGGGGCTTCATCCTCTCCCCCTCCCCCACACCACACCGGGAGCTTGCCCGGGTCCTGGTCCCTATCACTGAGTCTTTCCCCAAGAAAATCAAATCCTGCTGGCACCTGACTCCAAAGATCCAGAACAGCCCTGGGCAGGGTGGGAAGGGAACCCACACCCCACAGGGACAGATGTGGAGTTTGTGTCTGTTCCCCCAACTTCCCCCTTCTCCTGCCCCACACCCAGCTTTTCTCCAACTGTTTCTTTTTTTTATGACTGTAAACATAGATAGTGCTTTATTTTGTTAATAATAAGATAATGATTAGTAACTTAACCAGCACATTTCTCCTGTTTACACTTGGGGGGGGGATTTTTTTGTTTTTGTTGATATAATAAAGACAGACCGTTTCAGAATCTGGCCCTCGCCGGGAGGGGTGGGGAAACAGGCTGGCCTAAGGCCACAGTTCAGTGCGCCCCAGCCGGGCACCACTGCCCCTGGTGGCAGCCCCGTGGAGCCGAGGAGGAGACATCCCGGGCCAAGGAGGCAGGGCTAGACGGCCCCCAGGGCCCACATGCACCACAGGCGGGGAGCCCAGCCTCGCCACAGCGCGTCCTCAGGTCTGAAGAAGAGAACGCAGTGTTAAGAGCACCATGGTAAGAGGAACTCAGGAAGTTCTCCGCAGGACTGGCCATGTGGTCCTGTGCGTGAGTTGGGGGGATGTCATCTCCCCTTTGTGCCTCATTACCCTCGTCTGAGAAACAAGGTATGTTATCCTCTCTCAGAGAAGGAGCCCTTTGAAAATCTAATGACTCTCATTCCACAAAAGGGCTCACGCAGACACCATGAGCCCCCTAGGATACTGATGAATGAAGCAGGGTCGCTATTTCTGTATTTCAGGGCTCTGTGACCTTACACTTTGAAATGAGGATTTCAAATATCTGTGTATCACAGAAGGGAAGTAACAGTCCCTAAGAGCTGGATGACTGAAACTCTCAAAGTGCAAGAAGAGCTGATAAAAAGATCAACTCTTGTAGCTGAAATAATCCCATTAATATGAAATTGGGGCAGCAGAGCTAACAGTGCTGCATCAGTTAGAGTTGGGGTGGATTAACAGAAGTGTGTGCTAACCAGGGAGGTGAGGAGCCAGGGTGCACCACACGTTCCTGACCTCAGGTGCATCATGCCAGCCCGACGCAGAAAAGGCCATTCTCACACTGGAGGGGCCCGGAGGCAGGCATCCTGTTCAGTGGGTTGCAGGGAGCCCGGTGGATGGACGTGACTTTCACGGAGTGGTTGGGAGGGCCAGGGGTGTTTGATCCAGAAAAGAGGAGGTTAGGGTAGGGCAGAAAGAACAAGACTGTTTTGTTTAAAGCTGCCAGGTGGGCAACACAGGTATTTGATGCAGCTCACAAGGTAGCACTAGCCTGGCCTTTTGATGAAAGTCTCAAGGGTCAACATTTTTGACTTAACATATACTTTTTGACAAAGATGGCCAGAAGTGGTAGTGAGCTTCCCCAAACAGGAAGTATTTGAGGAGAAATTCTTGAATGCTGGAAAATGGATTTCTAAGTTAGAGAGATGGCTAGTGGTAAGAGAAGGTAGGTACGGTTGATTCCAGGGCCACAAACCCAAGAATTAGGGTCCCAGTCTTTTGACCTAGGGAGTGTCCTGGCTGCCAGCCTTCGCTGGTTTTGCCCAGCCCAGCCTCCCAGAGCTTAGAGCCTCCTCTCTCCTGCCTTCCCGCCCCAAGTCACCAGCAGGGCAGTGGTAGGCATCTTGGGGAAGGAAAACTCGGCTGACTGTGGTCCGCCCCCTAGTGGTCACACAGGAGAGTCACTCATTTCCCTGTCACTGTCGGTCCCCACCACTGCCCCCAACTGTTCCAACACAAACTGGGCAGTCTGGTCAGCACACGCCTAGCAAGGCTCACCCTCACCCGCAGCCAATCCTGAGCTCCCCTTACTTCCCTACTACCAGGCCCCCTGTGGTCTCTGGAGCCTGAGGCCAATACTACCCAGCTCCCACGCCAGCAACCCTTGTCCTGTCCTCCCAATTGCAGAGACAGAGTCGCATGCCCACATCCTTTAAGGGCAGGAAAACTGTGCCGGGAACCTGTGGTTGGGGCCCTGGAGCCCCACCTCCTGGCCCCAGGAGAGGCAACACAGGATCAGACGGGTGGAAAGGTCAGGTGGGTGGAAAGTGCCTGGACACTGCTAGGAAACTGGGGCACGACCTTGTCCTCTGTGCCCTGGGTACCTCTAGAGGGTAAGGGGCAGGGCAGGGCAGAGCAGAGCAGAGATGAATGTGTGCCCAGGAGTGCTTTGCCTAGAACACCTGCTCAGTGTCAGGAAGGGGCCTGAAGGAGCATCCCAGGCCACCCCAGAGTCTGGGAGGCCTGGTGCTAAGGCCTGTGGGCAGGGGTGCTGGATAGTGCCGGGGGCAGTGAAAGGAGACACAGTGAGACTCCAGGTTTTGTTTGGCAGTGGCGTGCCCAAACCTCCCAGCACCCAACCCGCCCCTCCCTGCCCACCCCCTGGGGAACTGGAGGGATGAGGATCATTTCTCAAAGGCTGTAGTGGGATGGAGACTCATGAACTCCGCTGCAGGTGGTGGCCAAGCCACAGGGATACAGGAAACCGGGGCCCAGTACCAGCTGCTGCCCGCTCACCACCATGCCACCGTTTCAGTGCATCAGGGTGCCCTGCGCTCACTCAGTTGTGCCCAACTCCTTGTGGCCCCGTGGGCTGCAGGCTCCTCTGTCCAAGGGATTTCCCAGGCAAGAATACTGGAGTGGGTTGCCATTTCCTGCTGAGGATCTTCCCCATCCAGGGGTCAAACCCACATTTCCTGCGTCTCCTGCATTGGCAGGCAGATTCTTTACCGCTGAGCTACCTGGGAAGCAGACATCAAGGCCCCAGGCGTCTGGGAACAAAGCTGCCTTCACAGTGGCTCCCTCAGCTCCAGAGGTGGATGGTCTGAGGGGACAGGGAGGGTGGGCACTGCCTTACAGCCCCCAGGAAGGTAGTGCCCATGACCCCTGACCCCAGAGATGATCACCAGGGATCCGAGGTGCCCAGCCCTTGCACCCGCCCTACGCTGGGGCAGACCTTTGCCCACGTCCTCCTGACAGCCCTCCTAGGCGTGATATTGCTGCCTGCCAGGGGCCTGGCCACGCTGGGTCACCAGGACCTTGAACAAGGCCCCAGCTTCCAGTGCCAGCTCGACTGCAGAGGTTGCCACGGCTCACGGGTACTTGTGCAGGCAGAAGCCAAGCAGGGCTCACCTGGCAGGCAGCCGCTGCAGCTGCAGGTGCTGTTCCTAAGGGCACCGGGCACCTTCTCGGGGACCCAAGGCTGGCCCTCGGAGTGCAGCCGGGGCTGTGGGAGGTGCCCGCCCAGCTCTGAGTTTCCGTTCTTTCTCTGGCCTACCAAGGCCACGTGTGGGTCCAGAAATGATCACCCTGGCCTGCTCTCAGCCACTCCCCGCTCAACTCGACAGCCAGCAGTGAGCGAGCACCAAGGAAGTGCTGAGCACTTGCATGCGGGTCTCCCTGGCCCGTCGCCTGGGCAGGCATCCACGGCCTTGTTCCCTGTAGGCTCTGCCCTTTCAGGGTCAACTTCAAAAGCAGTAGAACTGTGAGACCATCAATTCTGCCCCAAGCCAGGACCCCAGAGGGGAGGGGCCACACCCCCTCCACACCACCACAGAGCATATCACAGGATCCAGGTCAAATCCTCACTAGTGGCTCTCAGGGGTGGTCTATACATGACCATTTTAATGCAGAAAATGATGATCATTTACAAATGAGTCATTTTATAGGCCAGAGCCAGGAGGACCCAAAAGGCGGTGTGGGCAGGAAGGAGGTGGAGGCCATTGAGAGTCAGGGAAGCACCATCACCACCAATCCCACCCAGGCCCCTGCACTCTGGGCGAGCCCTGGCCGTCAGTGGCCCCTGCCCTTCGACTCCCACTAGTCACTCCCCAGGGGGAAGACCGTGGGTCAACTTCAGGACAGAAGACTGTTCCTGGGATGTGGAGAGACTTCCTGGGAAGTGAGGGCCCGGAGGGCAAGGAGGGAGGGGAGAGGATGCTGGCCGCCGTGCAGCCGTCTGCTTTGGGCTGCAGCCCCTTCAGCCAGGCAGCCTGAAGCCGAGCCAGGCTTCGGGCCCATGCCCTCCCTTCCCTCCTGGCAGGTGGCAGAGGGACTGAGCACAGGCCCGGGGCAGAAGGGGCACTGAGGGATGGGAAGGGCTTATCTGGCTGGATCTGCTTTGGAGAAACGGAGGGATCTCAGAGGAGGCGGCAGCTGGGGGAGCCATCAAACCTGACTCTAGACGCCTCTCCCAGCATCTATACATCCATTGGTCAGAGTTGGCAGGATACTCGTCTGGACCTAGCACCTCCCACCTGGGGCACTCAGGGGTAGACAGGCTGGAGGCTCAGGGCCCTGGAGGTAGAAAGGAGCCCCCCCCCCCCACTCCAGGAAGGTCAAAGACACGAAGGCAGCCCAGGCTCCAGGATGGCCCTAATGGGAATGCTGGGCTTGCCAGGGTGGTTGAGGTCTGAGCTCAGACTCAGGACGGCCAGGGTGGGAAGGCTGGGCCTCCCAGGGTGGTTGAGTCCCAGCCCAGACTCAGGATGGCAGGGAGTGGGAAAGCTGGGCCTCCCAGGTTGGTTGAGGTCTGAGCCCAGACTCAGGATGGCCGGGATGGGAAGGGTGGGCCTCCCAGAGTGGTTGAGTCCCAGCCCAGACTCAGGATGGCCAGGATGGCCAGGATGGGAAGGCTGGGCCTCCTAGGGTGGTTGAGTCCCAGCCCAGACTCAGGATGGCTGGGATGGGAAGGGTGGGCCTCCCAGGGTGGTTGAGGTCTGAGCCCAGACTCAGGATGGCCGGGATGGGAAGGGTGGGCCTCCCAGGGTGGTTGAGTCCCAGCCCAGACTCAGGATGGCCAGGATGGGAAGGCTGGGCCTCCTAGGGTGGTTGAGTCCCAGCCCAGACTCAGGATGGATGGGATGGGAAGGGTGGGCCTCCCAGGGTGGTTGAGGTATGAGCCCAGACTCAGGATGGCCGGGATGGGAAGGCTGGGCTTCCCAGGGCGGCTGCGGTCCCAGTCACACCTGGCTTCAGACACTCCCCGTCACCAAGTCTGGCAAGGTGGAGAGGACCCCCAAGAGCTGGGTTCTATCAGCCCTCCAAACAAAAACGGTCACCAGAAGCATCTCTCAGGGCTGGGAACAGGGGCAGAGCACTCTTCAGGGACACCCCCCCTGGCCCCTTGACCACCTTGCCCAAGGTGCAGACCCCAGATCTGAGCCGGGCCCTGGAGAACAAGCAGGTCTGGCCAGGCAGACGGGGGAGGGCTGGGAAGGGCGGTCACTTTGGCATCTCCAGGGCCGACACCTGAGGCTTCACCTTGAAATACTGGTTGAATCGGATCACTGCATACCTGCCAGAACACAGGAAGGGAAACGGGGTGAGAAGGGAAGCCAGGTGAGCCCTGTCGGGGGCATTCACACCATGAAGAAAATTTCTCACCAGCTCAGCTCATCTAGATCTGGACAAATGGACCCCAGCCCAGGCTGGGGTTTTTTGTTCATTTGTTTTGACTTCAACTATAGTTTTTACTTTTCTTCTTAGATCAGACCGGAGCAACTTCTCCCCAGACATGTGTGTTTGTCGATTCTTTACAGCTCAGTGATCACTAAGTTCACCTTGTTGAGCAACAGATCTCCAGGACTTTTCGTTTTGTAAACCTGGACTCTCCCGACACAGCAAGAGCCCAGCCCCCAGCACCCACCGTTCTAATTCCGTCCCTACAGATTTGACTACTTTAGCTCCCACATCTAAGTGGGATCATACAGCATTCATCTTCTTGTGACTGGCTTATTTCACTTAGCACAATGTTCCTAAGGTTCATCTGTGTTGTATTATGTGACATAATTTCCTTCCTCTTTGGAGGTAGAATAACATTCCCTGTGTGTATAGACCACATTTTGTTTATCCATTCACCCATCAATGGACCCTTGGGGTTGCTTTCACCTCCTGGCTATTGTGAATAATGCTACTATGAACATGGTTCTGCAAATATCTGTTTGAGACCCTGCTTTCAATTCTTTTGACTATACAGACCCAGCAGTAAGACTGCTGGATCATACAGTAATTCTATGTTCACTCTTGGAAGAAGGACCGTATTCTTCCCCACAGACGTTATACCATTTCACTTTCCCAACAGCAGAGCCCAGGGTTTCTGTGCCTCCACATCCTCACCAACAAGTGTTGTTTTCTGTGTATTTATTTTTTCAGTTGTTTTATATTTAATTTACAAAAGAGACCCCAAAATAATAATAATAAACTATCCAGGGGCAGGGGAGTAGGGTCAGGTCCTCCCCGGCCCAGCCGTGCCCCTCTTCCTCAAAAATATGGAACGCTTCACGAATTTGCGTGTCATCCTGGTGCAGAGGCCATGCTAATCTTCTCTGTATCGTTCCAATTTTAGTATATGTGCTGCCGAAGTGAGCACGGTTTTCTGTGTATTTAAAAGCAGCCATCCTAGTGGGTGTAAGTTGGGGGTAACTGGGGGTTTGACTTGCATTTTTCCAATTTTTGTGAACACTCTGAAGCCTGCATTGTGATTCCTTTCCAGCTGAGGGTGGGTAGGGAGGATAAAGACAGAGAGTGGACCAGGATGGAAGGCAAAATGATTCCTGGTCCTTCGGGGCCACGTCTCACAGGACAGGGCCACCTGAGTGGTCAGTACTCATCTACACTCTCAGTACAGCCCCCGATGGGTCACTAGGGGCCTGTAAAGGGACACTTGGGCCCGGGGCCCATGCACAGAGGCAGTGTGGTCAGCACCAGGCACAGAGCAGCTTCGCCAGCCATCCACCCTCTGGACAGCTGTCCCTTCTGCCATTAAATGAGGTTTGCACTCATGATCTTTACACTGCTGCTGCTGCTAAGTCACCTCAGTCGTGTCCGACTCTGTGCGACCCCATAGACGGCAGCCCACCAGGCTCCGCTGTCCCTGGGATTCTCTAGGCAAGAACACTGGAGTGGGTTGCCATTTCCTTCTCCAATGCATGAAAGTGAAAAGTGAAAGGGAAGTTGCTCAGTCGTGTCCGACTCTTAGCAACCCCATGAACTGCAGCCCACCAGGCTCCTCCGTCCATGGGATTCTCCAGGCAAGAATACTGGAGTGGGGGATCTTTACATTAGTTTCCAGCAATTCCCATCAGCGCCAGGCTGTGTAGGGAAGAGCCAGCCAGTGGAGCAGACAGCAGGCTACAACAGAGGAGGAGGAAGCAGCTCGGCAGGCGGCGGGGTGAGGCTTCTGACCCCCTTAGAGAGGGGTCCTGGGCACACGTACTCCGTCCTCGTGTGGGCTGGCAGGGACGTGGGCAGTTAACAGCACAGAGGCACGCATCCTGGGCAGCCTATTCGGGGTGTCCTTCACCCCCATGCCCTGGGCTCAAGGCTCTTCCTCCCCTCCACCCCACTGCCCCCGCACCCCCGCATGACTCCCAGCTTGCTCCCTGCACTCACCTGAGGAAATCAAAGTCGATGGTGGAGAACTGGTTCTGGATGAGGGCCCAGAGTGCCCAGAGGAAGTGAGACGCCTGAAAACAGGTCAGAAAATCAGTGTGGTGAGCCTGACAGCTGGAAGGACACGGTTATTGTGAAAGACACACAGAACTAGGACGCTGGCAGAAACACACGGGTGGGGGTAGTGCAGGGGTCACTGCATGGCACTCGGGGCCTCCACTCCTGCTACGGAAGGCAAGCAGGCTAGGTTCTCTCTGCCCTCAGGCTTACGCAGAACTTCAGCTTGTTCCCCAGCTTAAGCTGGACCTGAACTCCAGCCCTGGCCTCCCGGCTACCCAGGAAAACCCCCAGGAAGAGAAATCCTGCAGGCAGAGCTCAGGCCGGCCTGCTAGTGGGGGGGCTGGCACCTCGTCCACAGTACCCCGGCCAAAGGGCATCAGAGAGCGAGTCACGGGAAGGCCTCTAAACTGCCCTCGCTCCTGTCATGAGGGGGGCAAGGTGAGAAAACAAGCCCAGACAGGGGCCAGGCCACCGACCTGGGGCCCATCTGCCGCCCAGGCCGCCCCAGGCGCCAGAAGCCAGGGCGCGGGGTCCCTGCTGCCCGGCGACCCAGGCCAGGCCCCACTCCTGCGGAGCTCCCTCTCCACCCCGAGGCCGGCCCGCTCTGCAGTACCTCTTCCATTTTCCTCCCTTGTTGTGACTTAGAAGGGGCAGAGATCAATTAGCAAGTAGGAATGGTTACTAGAAATTTAGCTAAAGGAAGGCATGGGCAAGGAACCTTAAAAAGAATCACTTGGTTGTAGAGCAGAAATTAACATAATGTTGTAAATCAACTATGCATCAATAAAATAAATATTTTTAAAGAGAAGGAAGAACCTGATGATAATCAGTCTTATACCAATAAGGAAAATAGAATAGGCAATTCCAAGTTACATGTGATTAAAGATTTTATTTAAGCTCTATAATGCATTGTGAAATTCACGTCAGCTGATTTGTCTTCTTGCTTATGCATGACTGACATCAGAAAGACTAGCTAGCAATCCCCTTGGCACATATCAGTGAAGACCAGGCATGAAGCATGTACCTTGGATAAACAGCACTCAAAACTGAGAACTGACAGCATAGTAATTTCAGAAGAAAGAGCCTGATGGGAAAGGCTGACACAGAGTTCTGAGCAAGTCAGTGGGAACAGTCAACAAGGAGGAGTTTTTAGAACTGACATTCTCTACTTTTTCCAAAGGCTAAAACAAAACAAAACAAAGGATGCATTTAACTGCAGCATGAAAGGCTAAGGTTAGACAGTGGAAAGAACTTGTCCAAATGAGAGAACTGCTAAAACAGGAAGTGGGGATCTTCTTGGAAATAGTTCTCCAGGAAGGAGAGAGAACCTGGACTTGACGGAATGGGAGGAAAGCAGAGAAGAGGGCATCTTAGTATTAAGAAGTCCAAGATGGCTCTTCCCAGACTCCGCCTCAAGGCTGGGACTCCCCGGACCTCAGCCCTGACCCTGGGCTCTGCTTCCTCCGACCACAGGGCTGTGAGGGGATGGGAGCTGGGGGTGAGTCCTCCTGCCAGCTCCTCCCTCCCTGCCCCCTTCTAGCCGCCAGCACTCACCAGAGCAAACTTGTTGACTTGCACGTAGAGCCTCTCCACCTCCCTGGGGGTCACAGCCGTCCCCTTCTGGGCCTGCAGGTAGCAGCGCAGCCACTGCAGCTGGGTCTCCCGCGCTGGGTACCTCGAGTAATCGACCTCGTTCACACCTGGGGGGACGCGGCCGCTCAGAAGCTGCTGGGAGCCGGGCCCACCTGGGGGGGCTCCTCCAGCTCAGCCCTCCTCCGATGCCCTCAAACCACCTTTGCCCTGGGGGGCTGTGCCAAAGAAACCAGCTTCTTTGACCACCAAGCTCTAACGTATGGAGAGCCGACCCGCATCCCAGCTGAGGGCACTGCTTTCAGCTAAGCTGGAGGAAACAACAGAGGGAGGCAGACTTGTTGAGGGGCAAGGCACTGTCCTGCAAGTGGCGGAGGTTCCCCTAAGACAGCACCACTGCACCCCTGAACCCTACACAAAACCACAGCACACAGGAGGCAGTGGGTCAAAGCCCCGAATCAGGAGTCTAGTTGTCGATCTGACGCCAGCCTCCAGTTAACTTTGAACAGGCCCTTTCTTTTCAGCAGCCTGGATGCAATATATTAATATCTCAAACACTGCTTCCTTTTTAGGTAACCAGTGTTGAACTTACCTTAAAACATCACCTGGAGTGCTTGGCAAAGATACAGACTGCCAGGCACCCCACCCTGTCCAACTCTCCAGATGATTTGGACATAGCTATGCTTGGAAGCCCTGAGCTAAGTGGCCTCAATGCCTTCTAGTCCTGCCCTTTCTTGAGTCCTCAAGCCACCAGCCCGATACACACGAGCCACATCCCGGGCACAGTGGCAGAGAGACTGGCTCAGAGCTGGCACAGGAAGAAGTGATTTGCTAGATGGGACCAGGCCTGGGCCACCTTCCCTTGCCTCTTCCTCCCTCTCTTTCCTCTCTGTCTTTCCCAAGCTTCCCTATGTTCCTGGAGAAACACAAGAGTACAGCTGGAAAAGAAGCTGCTGGCATGGAGCTACACTTGGAGGCCCAGAGAGAAGACAGCTGTTCAAGGTCACACAGCCAGTTAGAGACTGGTTCTTAGCTCCCCTTCCTATCAGGGTCTCCCTGCTCCTGGGAACCCAGAAGGTGCCTCTCTCTTCCACTGCCCTTCCCATCCCCCCGTCCAAGGTTCCTGGCCTTCATTCTCAACTTCGAAGCGGGATACGACCTTGGCCCCTTGGAGAAAGTCCAGCTGGACTCTTCTCTGTGTGGTGGGTGAGAAGGACTTAAGATGCTTGACAGTTACCCACTTCGGAAAGGCCAGTGCGTCTGGCAACCGAGCAATCCCAGCCCCAGTGCTCAGCAGTGCCAGCCTCTGCTCCAGGCCACACCCCACAGTTTAGCTGCTCTGCACAGCTGAGGCCCCACCACCCCGTGGGTTTCTGGGTGCCGCTGGTGGCCACCCCGGGGAGTCATACCCTCAGGTACAGAGCTTGACAGCCCTAGCCACCTGGGATTCCAGAAAGGGAAGAGTTGGCCCAGCTGGCTGGGGCGTGCCTGAGGCTGGGGCGGGTGCCTTCCCTCTCCAAAGCCACGGGGACTGGTTACATCCCCCCAGCACCCCACACTGCTGGCCTGCAGATGTCCCTCCCACCCCAGTGCCCACCTTCAACCACCAGTTGCCTCTTTAGCCCCATCAAATTGTTTAACAATTAAGCCCTCAATCTGGAAAAACCTGCCCTGCTTCCTCTACACAAATGATTCCATTGTATGAAGCTGCCTTTATGGAAGGCCAGCCTATACCAGGACATACCCCTCACCCAATCTCTTCCAAGGTGCTCCAGCCTCCCTTGAACAATGATGCCAGCAGGCTTGGGGCTTCGTGTGTGCCATGCTGGTGTGTGTATCAGTATCAAAACTGTGAAGTAGGTGCTATCTTCTCCATCTTACAGAGGCACAGAAAATGTAAGGAACTTGCCCCAAGGATCATACAGCTAGTCAGCAACAAAGCCAAAAAGTGAACTTGGGGAGTCAAGTTGTGGGGCACACACTGTGAACTAGTATCTACCACAATTAATCTCATCAGGCCACCAGGCCAATAGCTACTTGCTGCTTGTTCTGCCCTTTCTCTGCCTGCAGGGACCCCATTTACACGGGATGTACAGGGCCAAAAGCAGCCCAGACGGGGGTGAGTGGCAGCTGACATCAAGCTACGCTGGAGCAGCGGGTGGGCTGTGTCTGCCCAGAGGAAGGGATCTCTTTCTATCTTACCTGTCAAGCTGAGTGTCCTCAGGGATCCCACAGAGGGCATGTTTTCTGAATGTGTACCACATGGGCTAGCAGGGGCTCACGCTGTGTATATGGGTCCACCCACTCCCCACCCCACCTTGAGACCTGAGGCTTCCTCAAGCAGGCTGTGCCCACCCCTCCGCTGAGCTGTGATATCTTGAGGACAGGTGTGTCCAGCCTCCCTTCCTCATAAACCGAACCCCCTCCCCCAGTTCCCCTGGACCTGGCCCCCCATCACAAGGAGGGTGTCTTGGACACAGGCCGAACAGTAACACCCTTCTCACCTGCAAACTCATTGAAATGGTTGCCAATGTCAAAAGCTTGGTAGTTGTAGCCAGCATATTCATAGTCGATGAACCGCACATGACCTGTGAGGCAGAGGAGAGGCAGGGAGGGTTGGCCCCAGAGTTGGACACAGGGCTTGGTCAGGCTCTCACAGCCTCAGGACTGCCCCCGCAGACTCCCGGGGACTCTGCAGCAACCCAGCCTAACCCAGCATCTCAGTGGCCATCTTCCAAGCTGCTTCCTTCTGTCTGTCCATTTGCCCAGCTCCAGCTCCCCACCTCACCCAGCTGGGCCCTTGGCTGAGGACCAGAAAATAAGGCTAGGGCCTCTGTGGGGGTGAAGCTGGTCAGGAACTCAGGGAGGTCGCTCTCTGTGAAGGCTCAGGGTAGCCGGGACGTCCTCACTGTCAGGGAGAATGGCTCCACAAACCATAATTTTGAGTTCTTTTGTGGCAAAGTTTTTCTAGCCAGGAATTTGTTTCTTTTTCACTTCTCTCCTACAGATCAACTTGAGACCTACACAAGACGGTCTCCCTTCGCTCGCCCAGCACCAGCCTGAGGAGTGACACCCCAAAGCTGCTGACAGAGCCGCCGGAGGCCTGCTCCCCCCGGGCCGGGCCGCGGTACCTTTGCTGCTGTCATAGATGATGTTTTTGCAGAGCAGGTCGTTATGACAAAACACCACCGGGGAGTCCAGCGGAGGCAGGTGCTCCTTCAGCCAGGCCAGCTCCTGCTCCAGCACGCCGACCTCAGGGACGTCCGCGGACAGGCTGCGTGGCGGCAAGGCGGCCGGTGAGGGGCTGAGAGCGGGTGGGAGGCTCAGACGCCCCGGCCCCGGCCCCGGCCCCGCCCTCACTGCACAGGGACCCTAGACAAACGGCCGGCCTTTCAAGCCCTCGCTTTGGTCGCGTGTAAAAGGACACTAACGTTTTCCTGTCCTTCTGACTTCCTGTGGTTACTCTGAGAAGCTGCTTAACACATGGGCACGGAAGCTCTTTGCAAAGCACNACCCAGCTGTCCCTCAGCCCACCCGACCCTGTGGCCCACGGGAAGCACTTCTGCTAAAGGCACATGTCCATGAATGAACGAACGGGTCAGTCAACGATGCTCTCAGAGGCCATGGGGAAGCTGATGAGGGTATTCTGTGCGCCAATGCCCTGAACTTTGGTCCTGCGAAGCGCACAGGTCTGTGTACACTGAAAAACCAAACAGTTAGCGGAGCCCTTAAACACCTAGCCTCCTCCCCTCCACCCATTGGTGGTTCTGGGGTTTTATCTCCATTCATGTGACTCCTATTTGCTTTCTTGTCCAGGGCAGCGGGGATACGTGCAGGAGCCTGAGAAGGAGATGTGTCCTCATTGACTCTCCTGCAGGATGCCCCACTGGCCCTCACCCAGCCCAGAAGCCAGAACGCAGGGTAGAGGACTCAGAGGCTGAGGCAGCTTCACACGGCCCTGTAAGAGGACAAGCAGAAGGCTCCCCCCAGGCTTTGAAGGGTCAAAGCTAAAGAGCATCTGAGGCCTCCAGTCCAGCTCCAGGGGGAAACAGAGCCTCAGGGCAGAGGCTTCCTCCCACCTCCAGAGACTTACACACCTGGACACTCTACTCCCTCACCTAAGGAGAGCAGTCCTTGGCGTGTCCAAGAACCCAAACCCAAGCTGAGCCTCTGCCCTGAAGGGGTGTCAGTGCCCCTCGGAGGCTCTGCACCGCCCACTCTGAGCCTGCGGGTCTGTTAGGGGCCGGGTGGGGAAGGCCGCCCCCCACTCACAGGAATGTCTCTGTGTCCACATCTTGGCTTTTCTTAAGAGGCTCCCTTTTCTTTCAAGATTCCTTCCCGCCTCCCACCTTGAACTGACCACCCAAAGATAAGAATTAGGAGGCTTCCTTTGGTTTGCCCAGGTCTTAGCGTCTCTGCCATCCAAGATGCCTGCCGCCCAGGCCCTGACCCCTGTCTGACCCCTACACTAGCCACCCCAAGGCCCTGCTGCTCGTTATACGTGGGAACAATCCAGACCTTCCACCTCCTCCTTGGGCTGCCCTGCTTCCCGCCCCTGAGCTCCGGAAACATCGCCAGCTTTGCTGCCTTCAGCCCTGACATCTCTCAAGGCTGAGCGGATGGCAGAGCAGTAACCACTGCCGCGTCACAGAAACTCCCACACCCGAGCCGGCAGCTCCTCGACTCCTCCGTCCCTCGGAGGCAGCGGGAGTGGGTGAAGCGGCTGGGGGCCCCTCGGGGAAACCTGGGCGTGTCCACCTGGCTCTCGGATCCAGGTGTGCTGGTGGGGGGGTGGGCACCGTCTCCCTGGAGAAAGGACTTTCTAAGTGTTCACACATACATACAGTCAACCTGTGCACACCTCCTCCTGATGCCCCTGAGCAGTGATCAGCCCATGTCCCCGCTATGCTGGGCCCCTCCAGGGCCCCACCCAGCATCAGGCCACACGCCCATCCCGCCAGGCCTCTCCCTCGTCCCCCTGTCCTCCATCTCCCCAGGAAGCTGCCACAGCAATGTTCCTCGGAATGCAGCTCCCGGATGCTGCGCCCAGATCACCTGGGGAGCCTGTCAACATGCAGATTTCTAAGGTCTCATGTAAGACCTCCCAATCGACCTCCAGGGTTAGGCTCAGAATCTGCCCGTGGCAAGCACCCAGGGGGACCTCATGCTCCAGTTTAGGGACCCTAGACTTAGATGTTTCCCATCAGATTATGACACTCCCCCCGCTGGCCTCCCTGCCTCAAAGTCCCCAGCTCCCACCCAAGTCTGCCCTTTACAATGAGCTCCTTACAAGGTGAAGGTGTCTAACACCTTCACAACTACTCTCCACTGCCTGCTAAATTAATTAATCTGGGCTCCTTTACCTGCCATGAAGGCCCCTCACAATCTAGCTCCAACTCCCCTCTGCAGTCCCATCTCCCACAACCTGCCCTCCTAAGACTGGCTTCAGCCACCTCATCTACTCATCATCCATAAGCAAGCCTCTCCTCCAGCCGGAGGCCTCCCTTCTCATCTCTGCCATCTGAGTCTGCCGAGAAGACGTTTCCTGGTGCCCCCTCTCATGCATACACCACATACCCTGCACAGGCGGGTCCTATTTACATGGATGCTTTCTAAGCTCCTTGAGGGCAGGGCCACTTCACCCTCAAGTATTTTTATTGTTTTATGGTTTTAAAGTCCAATCAGTGTTTGTGAGATGAACCCTAAATCAGGGTTATTAGGCAACGACGGGAACTCAAGTGCTTCATCTCATCCAAGTGATTGCTCATCGCTGTCCTGCTTGTGGCAGGTTAGACAGCTTAGGGCAGGATCCATGCCCTCAAGAGGCTCAACTTGAGCAGCTTGATTCGCCCAAGGTCAAAGGTGTGATGAGAGAAAAGGAAGTCAGCCAGCTCTTCTTCAAAGAGCACGCCCCTCTCAACAAGGTCACCCTCTTAAGATTACACAGTAACAGTACAGTCAAAAGAAGCTGCAGGAACAAGAGTGATGCCTGAGCATCGAGCCTGGACTCCAGTCCTTGAACTGCCATTGATCAGGTGGGCAAGCCCATCTCTCCTCTGGGCCTCTGTTTCATCATCTGTCAAGTGAAAGTGGGAGGCTGGCTGATCAGAGGGTCTTGCTCTCTGTGTGCTGTTCAAGTCCTAGAATAAGTCCTAGTCCTGGTTCCAGTCCTAGCCCCTTCCTGGGGGAAGGCAGTCCTTGTCCCAGACACATTGACATGGAAGGTCTCAACACCGGCCGTCCGAGACAAACAGTCCCTAAGTGGTGCTTGCTAGTCAGTGAGAGGGAGGATCCCGATAAAGTCATGAGTGATGCGTGTGACAGAGACGCATCCTCTCGATGGTTAATTACTGTCTTATCTTAGAGGGGGACAAGACGCCCTTCCATCAGACCTCTCCTGTACCCTGCTCTCATGAACATTTGGAAGAGTGACACTCAAGCCCAGTGGGGAAGGTGGAGAGATCGGAGACACACTATGGCCTTTTGGGGGGGCAGGGGTAACTTCAGTCTTTTCTCCACCCTTTTCTCAGCACTCAAGTAGGCTGGGGAGTCAGGTATCTGAAGGCTAGAAGGATCTCAGGTTGCTGGCCAGAGAGCATAAGAAAAGGTCCAGGAAATTGCATCTTACCCGGGGAAAGGCAATGTCAGGAGGGCCAGAGCACACCCTCCCTGGGGAGAGCACTGAGGTAGCAGCAGCTGTTAGTTTGAACAAGGTGGGGGACTGGGGCCCCGGAGCCCTGTGAGGGCAAGAGGCGTCCAGGCAAGTAGACATCCCCAGGGCTTGTCAGCTGGTGAGCTGAGCCCCACACTGTTCTCAAGAGGGCCAGGCCATCCCTTCCCAGGGCTCAGAGCCAGCTCAGGGAGAAAGGGCGGGCCCTGCAGAAATAAGAGCCCTGGGACCCCGGGAAAAGCCTCATCTCTGAGCTCAGTATCCTGCAAGTGAAACGGGGAGATGTTGTCCTCAACCCTAGTACCTTCCCTAACCAAAAAAAATGAAGGAGAAATAAGCACGTAAGGACAAAACTGCAGGAACAAGTTCCTGAGATTTCACAAACTGACCGAACTCTGCGTGGAGAGAGAGGCCCAGGAATCAGTACTGAAGCTAAACCTTCTGTCGGGCAGGCTGGGCCAGGGGCCGTGCTAAGGCGTAGGGGCAGCGGAAGCCTCAGGCTCTCTGAGATCCTTGTACCTGGGGTTAATCTCGTTCTTCACGAGGGTGAAGTAATTGTGCATCTTGTGCCAGAGGGTGGGCTTAGGCAGGCTGCCGTTGGCATGGATGGTGTGAATCTTGGCCATTTCTAAGGCGATCAGCCTGCAGCAGAAAACAGGGAGAGCAGAGTCTGAGACTGGGGCCAGTGTGGGACTATCACAAGTCAGGAGCCCTCAGGCCCGCAGAAGGAAGGTCTCAGGACCTTCAGGACATGAAAATGATAAGGCCTTCAGCCCAGCAGCTCCCCTTCCCGAACAGAGCTGGGACAGCATCAGGAAGCAAAAGGGCAAAGCAGTGGGCTGTTGCCACAGGTCAGAGACCTTGCCCCACCACAAGGTTGAGTAACCACGGCAAATCCTGAGCAGAGAGGGGTCACCTGGGCATGGGGGCGGAACCCCTCCCACCGCCCCGCCCCGCCCCATCTGGACTCAGACCCATGCCATCAGAGTGAGGTAGATGCCGGGCCCCAAGGAATCGGGGGTGGTGATGCCAGGCAGAGGAGCAATGCGAGTCTCTTATCAGCCTGGCCAAGGTGGGGAGGGAAGCAGGCTGGCTCTGGGCAGCCCCTTCCTCTGTAGCAAGGAGGCGATGCTGGCGGCTGGGTGCCAAGGACGCAAAACAAACCAGCGTTCTATTTTCAAGTTCTCCCGTGGACATTATCCAAGGTCCCGGGAGGGAGGCAAGGGGTGGTGGGATGGGAGAAAGCAGAGCTGGGGAGGCTGCTGGGAGAGGGGGGTGGAGTGGACCGAGGACGGGTGCTCAGAGAGGGAAGGCCCTGATAAGGAGCCCAGCGTCTAAGGCCCACGCCCCCGCGGGCTCCCTCACCCCCTGCCAGCTCCCCTCCTGCAGCCCCACCCCCACCCAGCTGCAAGCCTCCAACATTCAAGCTTCCTTCGCCCTTGCCTGCTGCTCAAATAATAATCACTGGGAAAGACAAGGGCATTGGCTGTTGAAACCTTGTTACTAGGTTGTTCTAGGGACAATCCCTCCACTCGGCAAGTCCTGGGAAGGAGCAGCCATCACCCACCAGGAGAGCCAGGCAGACTAGGGGCTCCCCCAGAAGCCCCCAAGGCTCTCACCTTTAAAGGGTGGAGGGGCAGGAGGCATGGTAGCAGCCAAGTGGGTGAGAGAGGAAGGCTGTCTTCTCAGGGGTGAGAGGCCCTAGGGCAGGAGTGAGCCTGCCAGAGCTTGGGCGAGGCGGGGACACAGACCTGAAACCCGGGGCTCCCCTACTCGAGGGAAAATTCCAACGCAAAGAGCCTAAACAGAGTGTTTCCTTGAGTATCAACAGGGTTGTTGTCTGGAATAGCAGAGAAAGTAACCCCAACACAGCATTTTTATGCTGCAGAGCATGAAAGCATCACACAGAGGTTGGGAGGTGAGGTTCAGGGAAACCTGGGGAGGCAGCTCCTGGGGCTCTCCCCTGCCTTTCCCCCAGAGATCACCTTTGCCTGAAGGACAGTGGTCTGTCCTGGGAATCATCAAGGAAGCATCTGCTTCCTGCCTCTATCCCAAGTTCTGACTCTCCCCCAAGTGTAAAATTCTTATCAAACCTAAATCCATCTGCAGTATTCCTGACAGTGGTAACTGTTTCCACGGGAGGATGCCGGGCAGCATCCATGGGAGAACAGGGGTGGGGAGGACCCGCTGATCTGTGAGCTTCTTGGCACAAGGCTGAGGGGGAGCTGGGGGGGACTGTGGGAGGAGTCGGGATGGGGTCTGCCCCGCCTCAGCCCACTCTGACCTCACGTCTCCGGCCGGGTGCGTATGGACCTGTCACCTGCAGCCTGAGAAGACCCTCTCACAGGGGTGCACATTCCATCCTCACCCCGTTCCCCCCACCACCACCACACACACACACACAACTGCATGTGAATATCCTGGGCCCAACCAGCCCGAAAGGCAGTGCTCTCAGAGTTCCTTCTTCCAAGTCCCCAGAGGGCCTGCTAGGGCTTCGCTGCACTTAGGGCAGGGGCACTAACCAACTTGGGGTTAGCTGGGTAGCAGATGACAGAGCAAAGATGCTTCTTGGTCTGCTCCCTAAGCGGGCTTTCCTGTTTCCCTCGAGAGCTGAAAAGCTTCCTCCCCTTAGGTGGGGCAGGACAGGCCCCACGGATCTCAAGCAGACCTCTGTGCTGCTGTCAGGGGCGTCTGGGTAAATTTCGGCCTGCCTCAAGTCTCACTGTGGTCTGAGCACCCTGCCCGTGGGCATGGCAGGAAGGAGGATCCTGCCCGACCTCCCTGCCCGGCATGGTAAGAAGAGAGCATCAGACAGCTCTTCTTTTATTCTCCCCCTGCCAGACCCCCAACAGAGGCATCTAAGTCTAGTTCCTGGGTCCTACACATCCAGGCATTTAATAGGAGGTGATCCCTAAGAGGTCTAGGTCCTTAGGAGTCTCTGGAAGGAAGCCTCAGCAGTCCCCCAAACCTGGGCTCCCACCTTGTCCGGAAGGATAGACAGAGCTCGTACGGGGAGAGGGCTGGCACCAACTAGGTGGGTACGGCCACGCTCAGCCCGGGGAAGGCCCATTCTCCAGGAGTCCCTGGGCTCTTGGCAGGAGGGGAGAAGCAGGAAACCTTGAGCGCTCTGGGGATTTGGCTCAGATTTCACTTCCAAGGCTACGAGATGTTTCCAGGTCAGATGTGGGGTGGGCGGAGGACTGAGGCATGGGCCAGGAAGCAGATCCCCCTTTGGTTTCATGTTCAGCAAAATTCTCACTTGCCTCCCCAAGAACACATCCTTTTAGCAGACCTCACTGAATATCGAGACAAAATGACAGCTGCTCTCCACAGAGCAAGGCATATAAGCACACACACACTTTCCATGCAATTTCAAGGATTTCATAGATCTTAAGACTCTTTCACGGACTCCACTCCACCAGGGAAGCAGGCCAATGACTTCAAAGCCCAAGGCCTGCGGAACCCTGGAGATAAACGGTACCCCGGGTGCCCTCCTTACCTGAAGAGCCGGGGCTCACGGATGTGCTCTGGCCCCAGGGCCACGCCCCTCATGTACTCATAGCACAGACCGTTCTGGAAGGTGCAGTAGAGTTTCGGGGCACAGCCGTGAGCCCGCAGCAGCTGGAAGTTCCGGACCTCACTCTCACGGTCCACCAGCAGCTCCGTCCGCTCCCCGTAGACTCGGACCAGCACACAGTCCCGCATGTCCTCCTCCACGTAGCAGGCCACCAGCTTATTGGTGATGCCGTCAGTGAAGCGCTGGCACAAGGGAGAGGGCGGCGCAGGCACGTGTGGGGCGGGCGAGGCGTCCTGTGCGGCCCCAGCTCCAGCATGCGTTGCTGGTTTGAATGCTGAGCACAATCACGCAGCACCTGCATCCTTCAGCCCTCTCACTGAGAGAAGAGCTCAGCACTGCTCCTAACCCTCCACCCTTTCCCAATGCTTGAGACAGACCAGAGGTCAGGAAGCAGGAGCTTGGGCTCAGCCCAGGCACACTTCTCCTGGTTCTGCCTCTGGGAAATGGGATTTGGCCGCTGAATAATTCTCACACCACTTGGTGGGTAGAAGCCTGCCCCCCCTACCCCCTACCCCCAGGTCCCACCAGGCCCTAAAAGAAACATCCATGGACCAGAGTGCCACAGAGGGGGCGGGGGGTTGCCTAGGACGGGTACGGCCTGACCTAAGTGGCCTCTCATCTCTCTGCCTACCAGGCAGAGGGCCCCTTACCATCCCTCTTACCCCACCCAGCGGCAGAGATACAGGAGGGTACTGAGATTGGCACCCACCCCAGGGCCAGGTGGTCACAGCTCCTTATGGCCAGGAGAGGCAGACAGAAGATCCTGCGCTGGGAGAGCAGGTTCTCCGAGCAGGGTGACAAGGAGGAGTGAACCATGGAGTTTATGGGATACAGAGTGAAAGGGCAGGAAGGGGCCTTGAGGGACAACCGAAGCAAGCAAAGGTGGGGGAACTGAGGCGCAGAGAGTGGAGGGACTGGAAGGCAGCAGGTTAGCTCAGTGCTGGAATTAACCTCGGGCCTGCTTGATGGTCTGACAGTCTTACACCAAGGCCCTCTTTTACTGTGAAAAGGTTACCCGCTCCCCTTCTCCCGAAAGGGTCTGTAAACCTTCCCAGGTCCTGAGCCTCCCTTTCTCCACCAGCAGCCCCACCAGCGTGGAGACCCTGCTGCTCCAGCACAAGCCGCAGGTGCCCACTCAAGGCAGCAGCCCCCACAGGAGGCTCCTGGAGGGGCTGGGGCAGCTGAGGAGCCTCTACCGAGGTCTGCTAGGGAGTCAGCCTGAGGCTGCTCAGGGAGAGACTCTGCTCGCGTCTGTGTCCCTATGCCTGCGCCCAGCGGAGCAGGGAGGGGTCCTGTGTAGGTGGTGCTGAGCCAGAGTTCAAGGCAGTAGAGAGGCTCTCCACCCGGCGCGGGACTGGGGGCTAGCTCGAGTTCCACAGGGTGGCTCCAGGACCAGCAGGAGCAGCTCAGAGCCCGGAGACTTTGCTCCCACTGTAGGCTGCAATGGGGGCACTGATGCGTGCGTGACAGTGTGGGGGGCGCCCTTAAAAGTTCCTGCCTCCGCAGCTTTCAGAGCCGGGTGGGCACCGGCTTCTGGGCAGCGGGGGGCACGCGCGCACAGCGCCCGGGGGTGGGGCCCGCACGCGCGGCGCGCTGACAGTGGGCAGGTGGCCCTCCCGGCGCTCCCGGGCCCGAGAGGAGGGGTGCGTGTGCAGGGCCGAGAAGAGAGCAGGGAGCCTGGCTGTGCTCAGGGACCGAGACAGAGAAAGAAGGACCGAGGCACGCCGCCGGCGCACCCCCTCGCGTGCAGCAGCGGCGCGCACCCCTGAGACCCACACCAGGAGGGATGCCCAGCCAGACGCGCGCAGCCCAGCTGCAGNGGCCTCCTCCCTCCCGCCCCGCCAGAGGCCGCGCCCCCGGGTAACCGGGGCGGTGCCCGGGGAAAGCTCCCCGCGCTCCCCGAGTCCGCCCAGAGGTGTGGAGGTTCCGCCGCCCCCAGGTGGTCAGCTTGGGCGGCACCACCTGAGCCCGCAGTCCCTGGACTCCTGCAAGAGGCTCTGCAGGAGTAGGCCTTTGGGGATGACGGGGGGACTGGGGAGATGCATTTTGGGGGCGGGCGTGCCGGTGGGGATCTCAGTCACCAACCGGCTTGGGAGAGAGCTCGCGGCGCCACCCAGGAAAGTGCCTGTTTCCCCACGTTGCCCCTTTCACCACTTCGGGAACCTCCCAACCTCAAGGCCCCTGTCCTCATCGCTGCCCAGAATCCCGCTCTGCCCCTCAAAACTTCTGGGCTGATGAGTGTTCTGTTTATGTGTTGTCCAGGGCTGTGGCCATCAGCCACGTGTAACTGTCCAGCGACTGAAATGGGGCTAGTGCGACATTTAATTCAATTTTATGTTTAATGTAAGCAGTCGTATATGACTGTCTTATAGAACAGGATAAAAGATGTTGGGGGTGGGGGCTGCTTAAGGTCACGGAGCCCAGGATGTTGGGAAAGGACTCTGACTCCAAACCTTCCTGCAGCGAGGAAATACAGCTAAGCAGGCAAGAAGACTCAGAGAGTCATGCTCCTGGCTCTGCACAGGGCTGTCACAGATGTGGGAATGCTGCCCGGGAGAGGTCCTAGGGTTCCATACAATCCCAACAGGTGGTAATTCTTGAGTATAAGGTTTGCTGGGCCCTGGGTAAGCCCCTCAGTGCCTCACTTCTTTCAGTCAGAAGAGGGGTGAGCAGCTGTCATGAAGAGGGACAGTGTCAGTGGCTTCATTCGGGCAGATACGGTCTCTTACTCCCCAAGCTACACGTCTCCCACAGACCGTCCAAGGCGTCAGAGTGGGAGAAGACCTCTGCCTGAGCCCCAGGTCTTATGATATGGAAGAGCGCAGTGCATAGATCTATGTGCTCGTGCACCTGGGCCGGTACCGGGGTGGCTGAAGCTCTGAACCTGTGACGGTTCACCTGTATGTGGGAAGGTGGGAAGATCCCAAGGTCTGAGTCAGACGGGCAGCCTTCTAGTTGTGTTTTCACATGTCACTGAGCAATCCTGGCCGAATGCTTTCACTCTCTGAGGCTCAGTTTCTCCTCATGTACAAAGGGAATATCAGACAGACCTCTGGGGTTCTATGCATTTAGGTGTTAGTGCCTTAGATGGCATGTTAAAGGGCTACATGGGAAAGCAGGGAGCCTGAGCTAGCAGCTGACCTCCATGAGCTTGGAGCATCTTTCTGTCTACAGTCCACTGCCACGGCGTTAGCTTTGGTTCTCCAGGGGCTGGCTCTCTGCAGACTTCCCTCCCAGGGTAGTGTAAACAGTTCCATCTGAACCCTGCTGACGTTGGACGGGTGGCATCAGCCCTGCATGCAGGAACCTGTGCCTGTGAGCGATTGTATAGTTTGTCTTTCTGTCACGTTCCTGTCTGCACAACATCACACACTGTACTTCCCTGTTTCAAATCCTTGAGAACCCAGGTGCAGTGGGGTTGGGAACATGAAGTCTTTATTCTGTGGTCCTCAAAGAAGGGAAAAGCCAGTGCTGGGGACAGGGCACACCTCCAGGAGGAGCTCCACCCCCCTGAGTGAGGGTGCAGGCGGGGATTGGGGGGTGGTCCCAGAGAGTGCTCTAGTTCTGGGCCAGGCCAGGCCAGGGCACCAGAGGGCCTCAGCGGGCCAGGGCAAAGCCGATGCGATTGTTACGCCGATCAAACTCCGTGTAGAACTTGCGGATGAAGGTGGCACCCAGGACCCAGACTGGTCCAGTGGGTGGTGGGATGTCCATACCGTGCAGGGCCAGTGTGCACAGATCATCATTATTGTAGGGGTCCTGGCAGGAAGCAAAAGGGTTTCTCCACCACCTGGCACATAACCACCGTGCCAGACTCCTCAGCAGCATCTGCCCACCTGTGCCCCATCCACACTGGGCCTCCATCACATCCTGGCTCTTTCAACTATCATGGGCCACACCCCTCCTAGAGGCAGGCACTAAGCCGATGCTGCTAACAATGCATCCAGTACAGTGCTGCCTTCAGGAGCTCACAGTCTGGGAGAGCTTCTGGTCCTAGACAAGTTATTAATACCTCTAAACATACTGAGTATAAAAAGCAGATAGCATTAATGGGGACATATGATCAGGATGGAGATCAGGAGATGAGCACAGTGATTTCCAAATTTGGCTGCACGCTACAATTACCTGGGGAGTTTTGTAAACATTGTTGCCCAGTTACCCCCGGAGGTATCAGTCGGTATGGGATGTGGCTTGTTACTGGGATTTGTAAAAGCTCCCAAGTAACCCTAGTGTGCAGCCAAGTTTGAGAACCGCTGGTCTAGCAGGTAATCTGTGCATAATGACATGTCTGTTTTTGGGCCCCTCCCCCCCTTCCTCCCTGTCACCGAGGAGCAGACTAGAGCCTCACCTGTAACACGTAGTCCGCGCTGGTGAGTGTGTAGGCTTTGCCTCCGAGGTGGAAGGAGATGTCGGGGAGTGTGGGCATCTGGTTACAGTTCACGACATACTGCAGTGGGTAGGGTCACAGGAGCCCCTTTGAGTGTGGGAGATCCCCCAGGAGACGCAGCCCTGTGCTTGTGGCCTGGCCCCTCTGCTGGAGAGGGGTGGACACAGCCCCCAGCTTCCCAATCCTCCCTCCCAGGGCCCAGGCCACATGTGGGAGAGTGTGAGAGGCAGGAGAGGAAGGCCGGAAATGGTCCCCTTCGGAACCAAAGCATCCTGGGGTGATCTGGGGGCCTGGGCCGGGTGGTGCACCCTCCTCCCTGGTGCCCGCCCCCCTCCCCCCACTCCTTACTTCATCTGTGCTCATCTCCTTGGCCCCCAAGGCCTCCATGAGCAGTCTCAGGGAGCTGGTGGGACCCGAGATGTAAGATGCACCAGTATCCACTACGACCATGCAGCCCTCCTCACAGAGCAAGGTGCTCAACCGCACAGACACCCTGGGGGAGGCCACAGCATCAGACAGACAGCTGGACAGAAGGCTGCGGGGCACCACCAAGCTGCACAGTTCTCCTGAGTGTGGGCAGGTGACGGAGGCCATGCCAGGGGTCCGGGGACGTGGTGAGGGAGGCGTGACATGTGAGCTGGAAGGGGAGGGTGCTGCCCACCCAGCACGTGGCTCAGTGACCCTCCGCCTCTTCTCATTGCCCCCTCCCCCCAACCCATCATCTCCGTGTCCCCACCCCGGACCAAGCAGGCAGAGAGCAAGGGCTGCACTCAGAGAGAGGGCGGGACAGCAGCCCGGTCCTCTCCCAGGCCCACCCCCAGCAGCAGCAGCACTTTCAGAGGGAAGAGGGTTGAGGGTCCCGACCCTTTCATTCTGATCTGCCAGGAGCCAGGCTTGCTGATGCTCACGTAGTGGAAATTCTCTTGGTAATACTGGGGGTCACTGCCTCCCAGCACGATCTCGCCCCCTAGCAAGTGGGAATTCCTAAAGGGAAGATTAGAGTGTTGTGGACACCCATGGCCTCCAGGACTCAGTAACCCCAGCAACCAGGGAGGCTGGGCCCAGGCTCAGGGTCAGCAGAGGCAGCAGGGTCGGGCAGTGAAGCTGGGGCGCGGCGTGGCAGGCTGCTTCTCCACCTCTGCCTGTCCGCAAAACTCAGTCAGAGGGTTCCAGGGTGGTCCAGCGACACCCAGTAAAGCCTCCCCAGAGAGGTCACGGGAGGAGCAGACACAGGACAAGGCAGAATGCGTGCAAGACGCAGACCGCCCCCACCTCACTGGGGCCTGAGCAGGTGCGTGGCACCTGGGATGAGCCCCGGGAGCTGCTGGGGTGGTGGGCAGGGTGAGGAGGGCGGGGCTGGGTGGAAGGCTTGGGCATCAGTGGCGCCTGGCCCGCTGCAGTGAGTCTGTGGCAGATGACATGTGTGATTCTGGGCCAGGCGCTCTGGAGGGTCAGGGCCAAGTTGGGGCTTTCCGTGTCCTTACTTGGAATCTCTGCAGAGAAAGAGACAGCAGAAAGGACGCTTTTGTTTCAGGTGAGCCCCACCAGCCCGTTGTTTGGCAGGGTGGTATCACACACTCTTTTTACCCTACAGGCAGTGGAGTCACCAGAAGGTAAGTTGTTGAAGTCACCCCAGCAGTGAGTGGGGGACTGGAGCCAGGGCCTCTGGTGCCCCATCTGAAGCTGTTGCCCCTTGGTTTCCTCTCCTCCAGGCGGCATGATGCCTCCCACAGGTCAGGGTCTGCCTTTGGGATGGTTTCCTATGTGTGTGTATGTGTGTGTGTGTGTGTGTGTGTGTGTGTGTATGTGAGAGAGAGATGGGGTTTTCCAGCACTCTTAGTAGGAGGCAAGTGTGTGTGCACAGGAAGCGTGTGGGTCACACATGTTATTGGTGCAAGTGCATTAATTGCATCATTATAAATCCAGTACATGTGCACCTGTGCTAGACAAGTTCCCCTCACCCCTCTCCCAGCACTTCACGGTCTCTCTGGACATTTCCTCCATCTCATCCCAAAGCAAAGGAAGAGGCAAGGCCTCTCCTCAACAAGGCCTCTTTGTTGGGATTCTCCTCCATCCCGTGGCCTCTCGGCTCCTCCCCTCAATTATCTCCTCTTTTCCCATCTTTTCAGTTTCTCACCTTCTGCTGGCTGCTTCTCCCCACCTGCAGGCCTACTCAGGCATCCTCCAGCATTTACAGACACCCACACGTCTCTCCCTGTCTCTCTGCGCAGCTGTGTCTGCGCCCCTCCCCGGGCAGACTGCTCAGGACAGGCCTTTCCCTCCCTGAGACCCACACCTGCCTCTGCACAGCCTGCTGCCTGCCCTTGCTTGGCCTCGGAAGCGGCTCCTCCCGAGACTGCCCCTGACCGCCAGTTGGTGGCCTTTTCTCAGTCACTCTCTTTCTCTCGCCAAACCAGACGCTCCTTTCCATTTTGTGCTTGTGATGTTTCTGGATGCTGACCTGCCCCTCTGTCCTCACTGCTGCTGGCCTGCAGGTCTCACACCTATGATCCCTTGTCTCCAGCTCATACCCAGCAGCTCAGGGCAGTTCACAGCTCTCCCCACAGCTGGTGGTAGCTTCCCCAAGCCTGGCTGCGCTGCAGGTACGCTTGACCTGGGTTTCAACCTCATTCCCCTGTTTTGCTCATCATATTGTAATGTTTCTTTTCTTCCCTGCTGGACTATAAGCTCTGTGAGGGCAGGGACTCTGTCTTATATACTGTGTTCATGGCTGTACCCCTTGAGCCTTGCACAGTGCTTGTCATATCAGTGTCCAATGTTTGTGGAGCCAAGGACTGAGCAGATAGGTGAAGGGACTCATGAATGAAGTCAGCAGTGCACATGAGGAGCCAGGCCCTCACAGGGAGGCCCAGCGGCCATGGCAATGCCCCACTTTGCATTCTTCTCTTGCTCTAGAGCAGTGCTGAACTAAACTGTAAGTGAAAGAATCTTCTGCCAAGATGGAAATGTGCGGTACTTGTATAGTCCAATGTGGTAGCCCGTAGTCCCTGCGGCTACTGAGTAGCTGAAAAGTACAGTATGACTGAGGATTTGAATGCCTGATTTTATTTCCTTTTCATTTAAGCATTTGCTTCCACATTGAATCATATAGCTCTGGATATGGAGTGAGCACCACCTGATCCTGAACACAGCACAGTCCTGGCTCAGACCCTCCGCCTCTTCCCCCGGCTCTGCCCCGTCACTGCCCGCCCCGGCCCCGCAGGCCCAGCCTACCTGCTGTAGTAGACAGAGAAGACGTCCTCCGTCAGCACCCGCTGGGCGAGGATGTGGTCAAAGACAGGGGTGACGCCGCCGACGGCCTGGGCGGGGAAGCCCATGCCCAGGACGCCGTCAAATTTGGCCAGCATGAAGGGCATCAGGGGCAGCTCTGTGACCTCGCCAAAGGTCTGTGTGACTGTGATCCCACCCACCTGTGGGAGGAGCACCAGGGGAGACCAAGCTCGCAGGCCACCCCTGGCCAGAGTCCTGTCCAGGCCTCCCATGCGGGGCCCCAGGGTGTGACCACTTCATCATCCCCACGTGCATAGCAGCCCTCATAACATACATCTGGGCTGGGGGCGTCCAGAGGGACTAGGAGGCTGAGAAGGCGGCACCAGTCAGGCCTGCCCTTCACGCTCCTGGAATGAAGAATCCTAGAGATGGAGGCGGGTCAGACACAGACCAAGCGACCGTGAGAACCAGGACTGACCCTAACTCCACACTCTGAATTCAGCCATGACCTTACAACCTATGCCTAACTCCAAACGTGCTCCTGGCCACAAGGCTGACAGTACCCTTGACCCTGACCCTGACTCGGGATCTCAGTCTAGGGTCTGGCTAAGAGCCCAGTCAGAGCCGGATGACCCCAAGCAGCTTCCTCGATTGGAGACTGGACTCCGGACAAGCTCCACGAATGCCTCAGCTGCAGAGGCCCTCACAGGTCGCTCAGGTCATGCCCAGAATTCAGGTCTGTCTGCTCTGCCCCGGGTGCTAACAGCTCCAGGGAGCAGTGGCAGAGGACGGCGTTCCTCCAAGGTGGGCTGAGCTGCACTGTCCCCAAGCGCGGGCGCTAGGGAGGTCTGGGGACAAGGAGGGCAGATGAGCCGAGACAGCCTCACTCACGGTCACCAGGTCCTGGCTCAGGAAACCTTTGACCTTCCCGGATCCGTAGTGGATGGTGAACTCCGTCCCATTCTCCACATAGCTGGAGGACTCCAGGGAGTCGTAGAGGCTGTGGATCTCTGGTGGGGAGACATAGGCTCAGGGCCGAGAGGCCCAGGGAAGGGTTTGAAGGCAGGCGCCGGGTGGGGCCCGTGTGTTGAGGCCTGAGTGCAAAGACGGGGCGGCCCTGAGCTGGGAGGCTTGAAAAATGTGCTTAATCAATCAAGGACTGTATTTCTTGGGCCCCTGTAATGTGCTCGTGTCTCTGAGAATTTTGTCTCAGATGAAGTATTTTAAAGTAGTTGCTAACCCCGGGATGGGGAGAGGACTCTGGTCCCCGGAAGCACTCACTGGCTCCCTGAGGTTAAGGAGTCAGAGCCCACTCTCTGAATGGGTCTGAGAACTCAGTCCTTCTGGAGCCTGCTTTTTACTCGGTGGTCATGTCAGAACAGTGGGAGACATTCTCTTTCCTCCTCTCAGGGGCAGGGGGCGCAGAGGCAGGCAGGAGGTGCTGAGCTGGGCCCGAGGCCCGGTGGGCACGGCGGGGGAGGCCCTGGGCCCCGGTCTCACCACAGGCCGTGTAGAGGGGGCTGCACTTGGTGGAAGGCACCCAGAGGTTGGCGGAGCCCGTGTCAAAGATGACTCTGAAGGTCTGCGGCGGGGTGCCGATGCCGATCTCACCGTAGTACTGGGTCTGCAGGGTGAAGGAGAGAGGTGGCCTCAGGGGCTTGGGAGGCCTTGGGGTCTTCCTGATATGCTCTTTGGAACTTGGGGTGAGATGAGGCAGACCAGGTAGCCTCTCTGTGCTTCCATTTTCAGCAGGGAGGGAGTTGGAGGCTTAGCAGTGTCTCATGACCTACCAGGAAGTGGGAGGCTCAGTAAGACAGGAGGGCAAATTAAATGCACTGCCGGTGAAGCAGGAAGATGCCCCACGCCCCATGGAAACCCTGATGCCTCACTGAGCCCCTGCCACCCCAGCACCTATACTTGGGGGCCCAGAGCCTGGATTCCTGAGTTCCAAACCTGACCCCACCTCTGGGCTCCTTCCAGTCCTCTGTGCCTCAGTCTTTTCAGCTGTGAAATGGGAATTTCGTGAGGTGCTCAGAAAGGGCAAAGAAAGCCTTAGGCCTGAGAGGAGAGAGTGAAGCGGGCAAGGGACCGAGCTGGGCACTCACGTCCAGGTAGTTGGTGAGGACCACAGGGGAGGTGCGGTTGCCAAAGGAGAGAGTCTTGCTGAGCTGGCTCCACTCAGCACCCAGCCGGGCCATGTCCACGCCTCGCTCCTTCAGGCTTTCCCGGACCGAGGGCATCTTCTTGAGGAAGATCCTGGCGCGTGATGGAGTAAGGAAAAGTAGAAGAGCTCTGTCCCCTCCCATAGTAATGGTAGAGTTCTAGAAGCTTCTAACAAAACTACCCAACCTTAGCCCAGGCCACCTAGGTATCACTCTTGAGCCCTTAAGTCTCTGAAGCAGATTTTATAGACCTCCGTAGTTACCTGCACTGGTATTAAATGACCCTCAATTAACTCACTCCCGTTGTTTAAATTTGCTCCTTATAATTTTAAGGTCATTTGTTCATTCATGCACTCCACAATCACAGGTTGGACACCTACTCTGTGCCTGCACCATGCTGGATACTAGAGATACAAAGATCATCACCACCTTCGAGGGGCTCCAGCGGGCGGAAAGAGGGAGGAGGAAAGCACTGACTTCCCCTCTAGACTGGTTCCAAATAGGAAAAGGAGTACGTCAAGGCTGTATGTTGTCACCCTGCTTATTTAACTTATATGCAGAGTACATCATGAGAAACGCTGGGCTGGAGGAAGCACAGGCTGGAATCAAGATTGCCGGGAGAAATATNGAGACGGTTAGATGACATCACCGACTTGATGGACATGGGTTTGGGTGGACTCCTGGAGTTGGTAATGGACAGGGAGGCCTGGCATGCTGCAGTTCATGGGGTCGCAAAGAGTCGGACACGGCTGAGCGACTGAACTGGACTGGACTGGCGGAGGCGAAGGCTGGGCGTGCCACCTCATGGCTGGATGGGTGTGGCAGTGCCATGTAGGACCTGCAGGTGGCAGCACATGCCCACACGGCCGGTGCCCGGGCTACAGGAAGCAGCAGGCCGCACCCGGCCAGGGCCCTGGGGCTGGACTGGGCAGGGTGGGGAGAGGCAGACGTCTCCAGAGTGCCTGTGCAGCCTGTCCTCAGGAAGAAGCGCCTTCCTGAGCCTGGGTCCCAGGCCCTCTGCTTCTTGTCCTGATGGTTTCCTGTCTCCTTGAAGAGGCAGAGTTAAAGAGAACTGGGAAAGTCACGTCGCCCTGAGCTGCCACCATACGGGTGCCCAGCACTGTGCAGGCCACCCTCACCGTGTGACCTCGTTCCCATTCTGCAGGCTGGCTGTCCTCACTCTGGGGTGAGGGATGAGGTGACTCAGGAGTAGGTGCAGCAGGGATTCAAGGTGCCCTGACTGGCCCATCTCCCAAGAGGGGTCCCTGGACTCCAACGTGAAGGCTGTGTGCCACAACCTGAGCTGTTGTTGGGAGTCCCGGGCTTGCAGCCCAGTGTTTGGAGGGTCCCTGTTTCTTCTTCTGTACTTGCACTAGCCTTTCCTTCTCAGGCCCCATGCATTTTGCTCACAAACATGAATGCAACTTTCATGCCTGTTGGCTTTAATATTGTAACAGAAATGACTTGCCACATTCATAACATGGTCTGTTCTTCCACAAAGTATTTTCATGACTTTGATCTACTGGATTCTCAGCCATCACCTGAGGTGAGTACCTTTAGTATTCTCATTTTACAGATGGGAAATGGAGGAACAGAGAAGGCTTGGCCCCAGAGAGGGCTCCTTTCCCACTGTTTACTCTGGACCTCTATTACCCTCTCATTTTAGAGAATCCCTTCCTTCTCCCCTTTCTCTCCCCCTCCCCCTCAGGCCAGCACTTTCCAGCATTTTCCAGCCCTCGAGGCCAGCGTGCGCCCTGCCTCCTGGAAGCTCCATGCCCCCACGCTGGCCTCCCCTTTGCCTGGACGCCGGTCCCATTTTCCCCTGGTGTCCATAACCAGCACTGCACAGCCTCGTGCCGTCTGTGATGAGGGTGTAGTGGTCGTGGGGATATGCTCGAATCCCCTGCTACCTGCCTGATTCTGAGCAACTTACCTGACCTCTCTGGGTCTCTGTAACACTGGACTTAACGGTAGTACCTACCACCGAGAGTAAGCACTTTGCAGATTGAGTTGCCCAGTGCTCAGTACATGTAAAAGGCCTCTGTGTGTAAAAGGAAGTGACAGCATCTTGAGAATGGGATCTGCCATTCAGAGCGCCAAAGAGCCTTGCATGGGAAGTTCATGTCAGTTAGCAAAACTCCTCTAAGTACATTTGGAAAGCCTGACTCCCTCTTCACCCTGGTCCAGTTCCATTTTTCTTCTCATTCTGAAGAGACGAGGGAGAATGTTTTTTTCCCTTCCCTCCCTTTATCCTCTGGGTGGGGGCCACGCCCAGGCATACACTGCCACTGGGAAACGCCCCGTCTCGCACACCGCCCCCCAGCCCAGCAGCTGCTCTCCCTGGAGCAGAGGAAAGAGGCTCTGGAAACACAAGGCGCAGTGCGTGCCCAGGCTGAGCCTCCTACATCTGGCCTCCCTGAACCTCAGTGTCCCCAGCTATAAAATGGGACTGTTGGGAGGATGATTTGAGCTGAGACACAGGAAACAATTCTATGAAGTCCTCAGCACTTTACAGGCCTAGCAACTACCACTGTTATGAAAACCTGCCCCTTAACTTCAGGTCTTCTGGTCCCATCTGCTTCCCCAGCGTGAAACCCTTTCTCTAGGAGGCTCTCTCCCACCTGCCTCCCAGCTCCTGCAGCCTTGAAGAATTGCTTGTTCCCTCAGGGAACAAAGTGAAAGTGAAAGTCGTCAGTCATGTCCTACTCTTTGCGACCCCATGGACTATACAGTCCATGGAATTCTCCAGGCCAGAATACTGGAGTACATGGGTAGCCCTTCCTTCTCCAGAGGATCTTCCCAACCCAGGGATCGAACCCAGGTCTCCTGCACTATGGGCGGATTCTCTACCAGCTGAGCCGTCAGGGTCCCCTCAGGGCCTGTCACCAAACAGGTCTTTATCCTCTTGTGGACGGCCTTAAACCTCTCTTTTAATATTCGTGATAATCCCCCTGGAGATGGTAACAGCTGGGTTTTTACAGCATGCCTGCGCCAGGCTGAGGCATTTACAGGCAATATCTCATTCAGTCTTCAAAGCAGCTCTGTAAAATAGGTATTTTATTATCCCTATTTTAAAAATGGTAAACTAGAACTTCCCTGGTGGTCCAGTGGCCAAGACTCCATGCTCCCACTACCGGGGCCCTGGGTTCAGTCCCCAGTCAGGAAACTAGATCCATATGCTGCAACTAAGAGTTCTCATACCACAACTAAAAGGTCCTGCCTGCTGCCATGAAGATCCAAGCAGGCAGTGTAGCTAAATAAATGAATATTAAAAAAATTAAAGTGGCAAACTTGGACCTGGCCAGGTTCAGGGTCTTGTCCCTGGTTCCAGAGTTAGTTGGCACTGCTAGTGGAACAGAATTTAAGCCAGGACTATTCGGCTCTGGAAGCCTTGCATTTAACCACTGTGTTGCCCTGCTTCCCTGGTAGATTTAACCATACCACACCCTTCTTAGCAATTAGTCTGTGAGCTCCCGAGGGGCAGAGAACATGTCTCAGTCATCTCCGAGTCCCCTCAAAGTGCCTAGCATGGTGATCTGTGCAGGAACTGAAAACTCTGGGCCAGGATCAAAAGGCCCAGCTAGTGCCTCTGCCGGCTGTGTGACATCAGGCAAGTCACCTGACCTCTCTGAATGGGACGAAACTCTCCCTGCCCGGCTGCTTGTGAGGACAGGGTGACGGGGGTGACATCACTTGTTTGAACCCCCACCCCCATGTCAGGAAAGTGACGACCCCTCCTCCCCTGCCCTTTCTCCCAGTTACCGTCTGAAGGCAGCAGTGTCTGCAGGGAGACTGAAGGTGCAGGAGCCCCAGAGCACCAGCAGGAGTCCCCAGAGAGGCATCTTGCTGCGCTGGTCCACGCTTCGCCTGGGTGCCGGGCTCGCTCTGGGGTCCCCTGAAGCACCCTCTCCTTTTATACACTGCACAGTCGGGATGGCTGCGATTCTGCTCTGCCCTGATTTATTACCGCGGGGCAGATGGCGGGGCCGCCGGTAATAAATCCCTCCATGGGACTGAGCTAAGTGGGTGAAGGGTGACCAGGTTTCTGACGTGGAGCAGGGGGGCTAGAAGGAGGGCTGTGGGAAAGGAAGGCTGCACCGTGACGCCAGCAGCCCGGTCTCAGCCTGGCCCTGTGACCCCTCGGGGAAGACAGAGGCCGACGAGGAACAGCACTGCCAGGGAACCAGGACAGGGCTGGGACGAGCACAGGACCCCGGTTTCTAGCCCCCAAGCCCGTCTCCCCGACCCCTTGCCTCTGTGTTAACCTCGGCTGTGCCCCCGACTGGCGTCTCCCAGGCTGCATTTCAGTGTTACCGTCTGGAACGTGGGTGATCCCTCCAGCTCACTCCCTGACAGAGCCAGATCCAGGGAGCCCCCACGTGGCCTCCTCCCAGGTCTCTGTTAGCAGTGGCTGTTTATGGGAGAGTGCAGCACAGGCCTCCTCTGGAAGTAAGGAGCTGGGGCGGGGACGTGTGTCCATCTTCAGACGATCTGTGTTGGTGAAAGGGAAGGGAAGGCCCCAGGACTGGGAGAGGCTGCTTTCTGCCAAAGAGCGAGGTGGAGCAGCTGGTCTTTCCACTCCTCTCCCTCTCTCTGCTTCTCCCTGACTCCTCTCTGGGGCACGTCTCTGCCTCCTTCTCTCTCCCTTGTGGCTTACCAGCGGTCTGGAGCCGCTCACACACATCCACCTGGCCCCTGAATCCCAAGGTGGAGGCTGTTTATGCAGCCTAGGACCTCCTCTCCTGGCTCCTCCCTGCTCACTCTTTGGGGCCCACTTCCAGGATCTCTGTCTCCTCCAGGAAGCAGGCATGGATCCAGCCTGGAATTGACTATCTCGGCTGGGGCTCCCACAGTGCAGACGCGTGACTTCTGTGAGCGCTCAGGCCTCGGCTGTCCTCTCGGAATCATTTCACTGTGCGCGCCTCTGCCTCTCGCCCAGAGTGGTGCTCACCACTCATCACATGGGCGTCCAGTGAACCATGTTGGGCAGGGCCAGGGGCCTGGCGTCTGGTTCTGACCATACCCCCAACTTGCTGTGTGACGTGGGGTCGTCCTCCCCTCTCTGGGCCGTAGTCCCCAGGGGGTGTGAGGAAGCAGGCGCTGGGTGACCCTAGGGTGCCCACCTGTGTGGACGCTCTAGTAGCCAAGTCCTGTGTCTTCAGGGTGCTTCTCTGCACCTCTGGGCAGAAAGAACTTAACCAGAGGAGCTAAACTCTGTTGCCAGTGTGCGGACTACTTAATGCATCGGGATCTCTGAAATTATAACACCCTTGCCGAGGGATGGGAGAAGCTGGTGCTTCTTGGTACAAAGTCTCACTGGAGAATTTTCAAGCATTGTGGTTGGCACTGGGGGAAGCATTGGAGGGCCCGGGAGAACCTTTTAGTGGGAACTTCTGTCTTATCAGACTGAATAAATATTTATTAAGCATCCCTGTAGGTCTCAGTGCTTTCATTCATTAGCAAGTATCACTGAGCGTTTCTTATGTATCAGACACTTTTCCAGATGCGAGAGTTACAAAGGTGACAGAAGCCCTATTCTTTGTCTGCGGCCCTGTAAGGGGGGACCCTCAGCCCCTCTGCTCAGATGGGAGGCTGAGGCCTCAGAGGACTCAGGGAAGGGCAAGCTGAGCAGTGTGCCCGGGACTCCAGGCTCCTCTCTGGGGCTACGTGCCCGCCCGAGCCCACAGCATGCAAAGGAGAGGGTGCTGGGCTGGGGCTGAGTCTGCCAGCCCGCAGAGCTCTCTGTGGGCAGAGAGCTCTTCAGAGGCGCGGCCTTGCTGCAGTATGGACGCCCGGCGCAGCGTGACCCTCAGCTGTGTCCTCCGTCCGGACTCTGGACTCTTCTATGGCAAAGGCAGGGCCAGGGTCCCCCCAGCCGGTCAGGCGTCTGTGGCCCCAGGCGCTGTCCCGCCCGCCTCGCTGTGTCTGGCTGGTGTGCGCAGCTCGCGAGTGCTGGCCCTGTGCAGCAGTGTCAGTAGAAGAGGGAGTGACCTCCAGGACAGACACGTTTGTCAGACTGCATCCCAGAGTCACAGGCCCAGCGGGGAGGCAGGGAGCCAGCTTCTGAGGGGTGAAGCGGCCCGGGCACCATCGGCTCTAGTTTCTCCGGACCCTGGCCGCGGCTGGAGTGGCAGCCTTTCTCAACAGCTCCTCTCAGCCCACCCGCCTCACCCTTGTGGGA